CAATTGAGCTAACAAGCCAACTGGGAGCAGGCGGTTAAGTTGATTCGTAATAAACCCGTGAAAGTGATAAATCAGATACAATGAATATATGAAGTTCGTATATTTTGAACTGCGGTATTTCATAACATCATACATAACTCTAAGTAATGCTATTTTCTTTTTTTTTTAATTATTTTTACTCAATGGTGTGACTCAAGGAAGATGCATTACTTGACTTGTGAATTCTGCATTAAATTGCACTAGAAAACTGATATCACACTCATCGCTTTGCCATTCATGTGATATCAGTTTTTGTGTACAATTTAATGCGGAATTCCCTTGTCAGGCAATGGATTTTCCTATAAGAGTTAGTGTTGAGCCCTGTTTTGGAAATTCCCCAGCTTTTTTTGAAGTGTGGTTTGTGTTATGGGTATTGTGATCAATTCCGTGATTGGCTGCTTCAACTATCAGATTACAGGTGTCCGATTACAACCAACTGTATGATTACAGTGTTTGATCACATATCTACAGAATAATTATTGAAAAATAAAGCACCTAGTGCACAGATCACATTTGAGGAAATTGTAATGGTTATGATTAATCATGATATTGACGTCTTTATTTTAGATGGACCGAAATGTTCTATGGTTCCAAGGGAACATCAGAGGAGGGACGTGCTAGACAAGTAAGTGGCACAAATGCCCCAGAAGCTGCTGAATTTCCAGACGTCAAAAAAAAGGTGAGTGTTATGTTAGATACTTTGTGCTTGCATGAAATTTGATAAGATAAAAGAGATTTGTGCAAGTTATTTGCCACAAGCTAAGCAGGCTGGTGTCAAAATTGCAAACTCATGTGGAATGTGGTTAAATTGTTGTTTTTCAACAGTTCTGTGTAGCTGAATGGTTTTGTAGCTGTTGTTTTCCTCCATGTTGACCACCCTTATTTGTCTTCTTACCTTGATTGAATCTGTGTGGACAGCAGCGGGTGCTTGCTATAGGGCAGGGGTTTACTGAAGGTACTCTTTCCATAAGCAGCTGCCTTAAGCTGTGACATAAGGCAAAATCCAACAACAAGAACCTGATTACAGTCTAAACAGATAGCAGTGGTATTCTATCTTGTGGCTGGTTTGGCTCAGTGGAAGACCTAGAATACCTTGGACAACCCATAATTTTTTTTTATGTTTGTCATTTGCAATCAGTCTTTCAGTTTTCTCCCTTCAGTATTTAAGCAAAACAGGTAAAAGAAATTTTGAAACTGGCAGGGCAATCCTTTTACCTTTTGAATTTTCAAGAATTCCAAGCAATTTTAGGCAGTAAGAAGAGTCAATACTGACAGGTGATAAATTTTACCATGCAGTTACTGCCTGAAGAGGAGGTCACCGGTGTTTGACTTCTTCTATCTCATCCAGTCAAACCTGCATTAAGGGGCACTGTTTTAAGCTTGTAGCTTTCCTTGGGCCCCTGGTCTGGCTTTACCCCTGATTAAAAAAAAACTGCCCTTTTCAGTCTTATTGATATCATCATTTGTTTAATTCATTTTATATACTGTTGTTTTCAGGGTCTTTTCTCGTGGATCCCTGTTTTCATGCGAGTGACAGATGAGCACATTCGTCTTAAGTGTGGTGTAGATGCATTTCAATATATAATATTCCAAAAGCATCTTATAGTGTACAGCATCATCATATTCTGTCTGTCTATTGGTATAGTCTTACCAGTGAACTACTCTGGAAACAATGGTAAGTACCCTAAGAGTGACGCATGAAGCTTTAGGACATCATTCGCGTGTCTTCCCTGTTAACATTAGGGAGCTTAAGATACAGACGTTTTCGGGGCGACGGCGACGTGACAACCCAGGTAAACTGGGTCAGAGGTTGCCGTTTTCGCGCCATAATTGAAGTTGTTAAGATTCTGATGACGGCCGGCCTTTGTGACTTCTTCGAAGTTCGTCGAGTTTCGCTTTATAAATTGAGGCTTTTTTGTCGTAGCATGGTTACGTTTGAAGAATTCCGCCACCTCCTCGTCTTTTACTACGACGCTAATCTTATTAGCGATGAAGAGTTCTTGGTTTTGTAGGATATATTTCCGTCTAAAAACCCTAATTTTCCAAATTAAAATCTCCATAGATCTGAGGTGTACGTTTTCGAGGTGCATCTACGAATTGATAAAGGGAATGGGAGCAAGCAAAAATTCCCTTTTATGTTAAGAATTCAAGTGCTGTATGCGTACGTGCCCAAAACTTACCTGGACGATTTGGACTTCACTGTGTTGCCTCCGTCATTTTAACCTAAAGAGAAAAACAAAAGGTCTCCTGAGTTGGCCGAGACATCGTGTGATGATTCGTGCGAAATGTGATAATGCAATCACTTTAATACAAGTAACAAAATTGGCAGTTTATGAAATAAAACAAACAAGATCAATTCACGTTTTCACCAGGACGGCAAACTCACTGATCTCACGTCGCCGACGTGAGGGCGACGGCGGGGCCGCATGCGCAGTCAATCTCGCCCCAATCTTAATCGGTCTCCACGTCGCCGTCGCCCCGAAAACGTCTGTATCTTAAGCTCCCTATTTACCAAGGGGTTACCAGAGAGACGAGTGGTAGCTTCGTGGTTAGTGCGCTCTACTCCAAATTGAGTGGTCCACGTTCGAGCCTGGCCCGCCTGGGACTTTGTGTTGTGTTCTTGAGCAAGACACTTTACTCTCACAGTGCCTCTCTTCACCCAGTTGGTTAAATGGGTGCCGGCAAATGTAGTGCTGGGGGGTAGCCCTGCAGTGGACTAGCCTCCCATCCAGGGGGGAGTAGAAATATTCCTAATTGCTTCATGCCATGGAAACCGGAGTTAAGTGCCGGCCTGATGGGCCACTTGGCTAGTAAACAGACTTTTTTTTTTGCTGGCTGTCTACCTTCACATATGAGACCACTCTCCCATCTGTCAAGCTTTACGTCTTACAGCTCCTTATCCAGGCACAGCTGCTGGATAAATCTCTATCTGGTGGTTAGTGAAGTACGTTTGTTTATGCTGATCCACTGGATAATGATTTACCCATTGGATAGCATTATTCACCCTTTCAACAACGGGGTCCAAGAGTTGCACCTGACCACTTGATGCCTGCAGAATTTGACAATTCAGATTAGAAAGAAGATTAAGACAACCAGACTACAAATATGATTTGTATCTTCTATTGCACTTGTAGAACCAGTCAAGGATTCTTTTGGTGCCACGACAGTTTCTAACCTGATGTATGACTCAAGCGTCTTCTGGCTTCATACAGTTTTTGCAATCATCTACACGGTGTTAATGGTGATTGTGTTGCGGCATTTTACCAACCTGTTTGCATTCAAGAGCCATGATGATTCTAAGAAGACAATCATGATGACTAATGTACCTAAGAATGTAACAGCTGACTTGATCATGCAACATTTTAGGTGAGAGTTGTAAAAATGTTGCTGTAAACACCGGTGTATGAAAACTGCACCTTTTCCACAAAATTGGCCAATAAGAAGATTAAGTTAAGTCCAAATTCATCTATAAAAAGTTGTCTGTGCTATGGGTTTTTTCTGAGGTTTAACGCGTAAGTTTCTCTTCTTTCCCAGGGCAATCTTTTTATGAACTTTTTTTTAAATTCGTCAACGAATCTTTGTAGTCTCTTTCAAGTTAGAAATACGTTAAAGCGTTTCATAGCGACCTAGCGAGCTTCCACAGTCAAACGTTTGACTCAGAAAAAAAATGCATGTTGTTAGAGATGTATCACAATTTCTACAGAAGAGGAATATGTTCTACCATAACAAACAGTTAGAATGATTTGTTTTTTTTTTGGGGGGGGGGGGCAAATTGGTAAAGTATGCTGGAAAGTAGTTGTATGTTAGGGTGCGAACTCGCAAAGGTGTTAGGGGGTGAACTTGCAATGAAGTGAAAGCTCTAGCTATCTCAAGAAAGGCCTAAAAACCTGGCTTGTAGACGCTCTCGCATTGAGTGTTTGGATCATGGGGTATTGGTTTCGTAGGTGATATTCTCTGTTGCATTTCTCCAGGGAAATATATGGTGAATCGCAAGTCCTTGAAGTCCAAATTGCATTTGACTTTGCAAAACTAAAGCAAGCGCAGAGAAAAGTTCTTGCCGCAGAAATGGGTCGGGAACACTGTGAAGAACTGCTCCGTAAGACTGGGAAGAGACCGTTAACCACAGTGAGTACCAACAAGCTGTCTCCTTGTTGCCACTGCTGTGGCGCCAGTCACGTGGATGGGATTGAGTACTTTACTGAAGAAGAGGAAGATGGTAAAGTCCAAGTTGATCAACAGAGGCAGAAACTGAAGAGTCTGGGAATAGCTTTTGTGACATTTGAAAATGCAACGATTGTTCAGAGGTACAATACTTCTAAAGTAATGGAAGGGGGTCTAACAGACCACATTAAGGTGTGCGCGGATGTTGGTCAAGCTGTTTTTGTGCTTTTGGGAAGCGTCTATTATTCGCGATTGGGTTAGGATGCACTTCTCATAAAACAAGGGTAATAACCGCAACAATAGAGTGATTTAGCATCGCGTTTACGTGAAACTGCAAACGTCAGCTTGCCCTTTCACGTTTCACATAAAGTAGCGTGAACCTGGCTGCTTTAGCTTTGCGTGAGCTCACGTCATGGTTCATTTGAAGGCGCCTTTGTATCACTTACAAGGAATAGTTTTGGTGCACTTTTTCCAGCAATTAACTTCTACTCTTTGAGAGAAAAAGTGAAGAAAATCTTACGCGGCGAAACGGGGTTACTTTCACGTAGAAACGGCAAAGCGCAACCGGCAAACGTGCAAATGGCGGGGAAAACAAGGTCACGTGGTCAGCGTACTTTTCCTTGAAATACCAGGGCGAATTATCGCTTGAATCGGAAATAAACATCAGCCGACATTTACATTCTGATTAGCGGCATATTTTCTTCTAGCTTCCGTAATGAATTAATTCGTCATTTTTCATTGAATAGACCCAAAATGCGCTACCATCACCAGAGTTTGCTCTCACAGATTTTGCACAATACTGTGCGTTTTTGCTCGTTTTCGCTCTGACGAAGAACTGACACCCGAAACGTCAGATTTGGAAACACTTTACGGTGGCCAGTTTACATTGTCAACTCACGTAATAAAACCAAATTGTCTTCTATCCCCTTCCAACATAGAACCACAGAAACATTACCACTTTTTTATCATTTGCTCGGTTTGCAGATGTCTGAAAGACTTCAACACAATCCGGCACGGAAGTCCAGAATCGTCTGTGTCTCGAAGGATCTTTTCAGACCACTGGAATGTGTCTCAGGCTCCTTTAGCTGGGGACATAATCTGGGAACACCTTTCTGTAGACAATGAAAGTTGGTGGGTCAGGGCGGTGCTTATCAATACGTTGCTTTTCATCTT